GGGGGGGGGGGCACGAGAGCCCCAGGGACCCTGACCCAGGCATCCACAGGTTGCGTTGATGGGCTTTCAACGTCTCCCTGCGATGACCTCCGTCCTGTGTCGTTACTCCCGACAGCCCAGGGTAGTTTCCTCCTTGGTGGGAGTGATAGGAACCTGCCGTCCTGCTTGGTGATATTTCAAACCGCGGTTTCCGTTTAGCTGCAGGTAATGAAGAGGCAGCCGCCAGTGAAGTACTTGAGTTGTTTTTCCGCTCAGCTTATGGAAAGTGATGCTGTAAGCGATTCAAACCGGGCCGTAATCATCTCTGAGGAATGAGGGGTTGGGTGGTGTGGAATAACCGCTAGTTTTATGGCGAGCCTTATCTTCAGTGCGTTTTTGGCAATACGGAATGCTTTCTGGCCTGGTTCGTGGATGCCTCCAAATCAGGATTTGTGCAAATTGACTTGGATTCCTAACCTCACTTGTGGCATGGCTGATTTTTGCAGTAGGCCCCTGCTTGAAGGTTTGTTTTGTTTTAGTCTTTTTTAGTTTTTATGCCAGAGTCCAGGCTGATTCTTTCTTTGTGTTCCAAACTGGGCTCTCCCCCCCCCCACCTTCCCATCTCATTCTTACCCATTTACCTGCCCCTCCTCATTCAAAACAGACTGATTGACTTTCAAATCACAGCAGATGCTCAAACATCCTTCCAGGAAAAGTAACGTTGGAACTTACGAAACACAAAGGTTCTCTAATTGCAGCTTTGAAAAAAGGCATCTTATTTATCAATTTTTTATTTGGTTAATTTGATTTTTTTTATTTGATTATTTTATAAATTATATAAATTGATTTGATATTTTGCCGCAGTGGTGCAGTGGCTAGAATGCACTATTGCAGGCAAACTCTGTCCAGTGCCAGGAGTTTAATCTTGACTGACTCAAAGGTGACTCAGACTTCCGTCCTTCCGAGGTCGGTCAAATGAGGACCCAGATTGTTGGGGGCAAATAGGCTGGCATTTGTGAACCGCTTAGAGAGGGGCTGTTTTAAAGCACTGTGAAGAGGTATATCAGTCAAAGGGCGGTTGCTGTTTTCCTATTTATTGACCAAGTCCTGTTGCAAAGCGTTGCCCTGGTGAGGGGCCTGGTTCCAGGGGTCAACCAGGGTTGCAGCAGGATGGCCTCTTGAGAGGGCAGGATGGCTTGGACCCACCCATCTCTTGGACAGCTGGATGGAGGCTAGTCGGCTGCCTTCCCTCCAATGGCCATTTTCTGAGTGGGCAGCTCTCTGTGCCAGCCGTTTGGCCAGAGCCCCCCAAAGGCGCTCTGAAAAGAGTCCGGTTTCCATTTTCCTTGCTGGGCCTCGAATGCGGCTCTCTTCTCCTTCTTGTTTCCGCCTAGGGGAGCTTTTCGCCCAGGCCCCGATTGACCTGTACCCTGGCATCGCAGTGGAGACGGTAAATGATTCGAGCCGGTATTTTGTCATCCGGATTCAGGACGGAAACGGTAAGAAAAAGGGGGCGGCTTCCTCTTGGCTGACGTGCGTGATGGGGGGTCCCACAGAGCCCGCCTGCAGCTGCCCTCACAGGAAACTCGCCACAGCCCACTCGCTACGGTCCACTCTTAACTCTCTGCGGAACAATTTAACCATTCTGTGTAATTATTTAAAATAAATAAAAAAAATACTTTAATTTTTGTCAGTCACATTTCATTCTTTTGCATCCTTTCTTTCATGATTCTGTTCCACCATTTCTTTGGTATTAATGTAACTTTTGTCCAGCAACGAGTTGTCCCGTGGCAAGTTGGCCGTGGCAAATTGTCAGAGACAGCACCCCCCCCCCCTGTCCCTTGGGTCTGGCCCCAGGAGACTGTCTTCAGCCATCCTCAGAGAGCCAATAAACGCCCCTCGGGGGCAGGTTAAGCGGAGTGTTTCGGAGCGCGCCTGGCCCTGAGCAAGAGCCCAAATGCCTGGCGAGGAGAATTCGGGGCCAAACGTGAGAGAGAGAGAGACACGCTGAGTTTGGGGAGCGAGAGGAGAGACGAGGTGTGAAAGCTCCTCTCTCCCCAGTTGGGTCTCCTGCTGGGCCGGGCGCCAGACGGGCTGGAGGCAATGAAAAGGAGCAGGAGTGGCGCGAAGGACGTGCTTGGGGCTGTCGCACAGGTGTGGCGCGACTCCTGGGTTGCCAGCTGGGCTGTGACCGCCAGGCCTCCGGGGCCTATGGGAGGGGCTTTCCTTCGGGGCAGCGGCTGAGGCAGAGGCTGGCCTTCCTTTGGGAGGATCAGGAGGCCGAAGGCAGCGGAGTCGGCCCCTCCGCCAGATGGGGAGCCAGAGACTCTTCCCTGAAGGCCCCACACCCCACCAGGCACTGCCCTGCGTTGGCGAAAAGCCGCAGAGCGTTTCCAGGAGCTCTCGGGGGGGTCTCCACCGGCCGGCGGCTGCTCTAACCACTGCTGGCTTTTCTTGGTCAGGACGCAGCGCCTTCATCGGCATCGGCTTTGGCGACCGAGGCGACGCCTTTGACTTCAACGTGGCCCTGCAGGACCATTTCAAGTGAGTCTGCCTTGCTGCTCTGGCTCTTGATGGGCGGGGAGGGGGTTGGGCGAAAGGAGTCTGCTGGGGGGAGGGGCTGCACCCAGGGCCGGCCTGAGGGGGTGGCGGGGGGGGAGGAACCTTCCTTCCCAGCTCTGCAGAAATGGGGCTGCCTTTGTCTGAAATGGGTGTTCGGTTCAGCTCAGTTCAGACTGTGTGTGTGTGCGCGCGTGTGTCATTGTTCCAGTCTCAAGGCATCAGGCCTTCTTAAAGGCTAAGGGCAAAAGGTGGTCCTGGTTGCATTGAAAGGGGTTCCAGCATCTCCTGGCGAGTCTCCCCTCCACAGCCCAGGGAGGGAGGGAGGAGGCTTTTGAGCCGTTCCCTTGGGCAAGCTCACCGGCCAGAGAATAGGAGGTACAGGCAGACCTTGACCTTCAGCCATTCAGACTTAACGGCAGTGCTGAACTGATGGTGGCTAGGACAGATCCTCAGAGTTGCAGCATCCTCACGGTCACCCGATCACGATCTGGGTGCTTAGCAACCAGCTTGGACTTATGACCAGCTTCAGGGCCCCAGGATCGCATGATTGCCATTGGCAACATTTCCTGCAGGCTTCCCCAGAAAGTCAGTGGGGAAGCTGACAGGAAAACCCGCAATTCACTCAGGTAAGCTTACTCCCCCCCCCCCCAGCACCCTTGCACTTGCTCAGCGCCAACCGCTTGCGCACTCTCACTCCCCCTCCCCCTCCGGGCCTGGGACTTGCAACTTCCTGCCGGCTTTCCTTCCGACTTCAGTTGTGGGAAGCCGCAGGCAGTTGCCTCCCCAACAACAAATCCGGGGTTCAGTGAACAGCAGCAGCCGGGATTACCGCCACTAAGCGGCGCCCTCACGCTTTATGACCGTGTTGCTTAGTGACAGGCATTCCGGTCCCAGTTCTTGCCTCTCTCCTGCCTGGTTGCCGCCCTTCCCTGTCGCCACCTCCCACCGCCTTCTCCGCTGCCTCTCGCCCGCAGGTGGGTGAAACAGGAGACGGACATCTCCAGGGAGTCCCAGGAGCTGGACAGCCGGCCCAAGCTCGACCTGGGCTTCAAGGAAGGCCAGACCATCAAACTGAACATTGGGGTGAGGCTCCCCTGCGCATCTTTCAGGGGGGGAAGGGGGGGTGATTCTGAGAGACCCCTCTTAATGCCGCCCTTCTCCCTTTGCAGAACATGCCCACCAAGAAAAGTGGGTCAGCGAAGCCCCGCCCGGCTGGCTCAGCGGGACTCAGCCTCCTCCCCCCACCCCCGGGGGGCAAAGTGGCCCCTCCTCCCCCCGTCCCCCCTCTTTCTTCAACGGCCATTTCCAACCACGTAACTCCGCCCCCCGTGCTGAAGTCCAGCGGTGCTGGCCACGCAGGTAACGGCCATTTTGGGGCGTCCGTGGGGTGACCCAGCTTGCCAGGGGCTGAGAAGGGGGGGCAGCAGGGCCCCTGACGGTCGCTGGGCAGGAATCCCAGGCCGGCCAGAGGAGAGGGAGGGAGCCCCCGTCCTCCTCCCGTCTTGCTGGGCAGCAGGACCGAGGAAAGGCTGGGGCTTCAGGTGGGCCAGGGAGGCGGGGGCAGTTCCCCCTGCCCCCCCCCCCGTGACTTCCCTTTCGTGCTGGAGGCAACAACCCAAGCAAAGTACAGATAGTCCTCAACTTACGACAGTTCACTTAGTAACCGTTCAAAGTTACAACGGCGCAGAAAAGAATGGCTTGCGGCCTCCCCCGTGGTCACGTGATCAAAATCCAAAGGCTTGGCAACTGGGTCAGTTTTATGACAATCGCCGTGTCCTGGGGTCACATGATCCAGTTTTGCGACCTCCTGGCAAGCAAAGCCAGTGGGGGAAGCCCCACTCGCTTTATGACCGTGTTACTAACTTCACTGCAGGGATTCACTTAACAACTGTGGCAGGAAAGGTC